AGTCCCATTTGTTTATTTTTTCTTTTGTTTCCTTTGCCTGAGTAGACATGGTATTCGAAAAGATGCTTCTAATATTGATGTCAAAGAGTGTACTGCCTATATTTTCCTCTAGGAGTTTTATGGTTTCACATCTTACCTTCAAGTCTTTAGTCCATTTTGAGTTAACTTTTGTGTATGGTGAGAGGTCATAGTCTACTTTCATTCTTATGCGTGTGGCTGCCCAGTTTTCCCAGCACCATTTATTGAAGAGACTTTCCTTTCTCCATTGTATGTTCTTGGCTCCTTTGTCGAAGATTAGCTGTCCATAGATGTGTAGTTTTGTTTCTGGGCTTTCAGTTCTGTTCCCTTGATCTGTGTGTCTGTTTTTGTACCAGTACCATGCCATTTTGATCACTATGGCTTTGTAGTATATTTTGAAGTCAGGGATTGTGATGCCTCTAACTTTGTTCTTTTTTCTCAGAATTGCTTTAGCTATTCAGGGTCTTTTGTTGCCCCATATGAATTTTAGGATTCTTTGTTCTATTTCCATGAAGAATGTCATTAGGATTCTGATTGGGATTGCATTGATTCTCTAGATTGCTTTAGGTAGTATGGACATTTTAATTATGTTTATTCTTTCAATTCACGAGCATGGAATGTCTTTCCATTTCTTTATGTCATCATTGATTTCTTTCAATAATGTCTTATAGTTTTCATTGTGTAGGTCTTTCACCTTCTTAGTTAAGTTTATTCCTAGATATTTTCTTCTTTTCGTTGCAATTGTAAATGGGATTGTATTCTTGAGTTCTCTGTTTGTTCATTATTAGAGTATAGAAATGACACTGATTTTATAAGTTGGTTTTTTGTACCCTGCAACTTTACTGTAGTTGTTGATTATTTCTAATAATTTTCTGATGGATTCTTTAGGGTTTTCTATATATGGAATCATGTCATCTGCAAACAGCCAGAGTTTCACTTCTTCCTTGCCAATCTGGATACCTTTTATTTCTTTTTCTTGCCTAATTGCTCTGGCCAAAACCTTCAGCACAATGTTGAGTAAGAGTGGGCACCCTTGTCTTGTTCCTGTTCTCAGAGGGATGGCTTTCAATTTTTCTCCATTGAGTATGACTCTGTGGGTTTGTCATATTATGTTGAGGTACTTTCCTTCTATACCCGATGTATTGAGAATTTTTATCATAAATGGATGTTGGATCTTGTCAAATGCATTCTCTGCATCTATTAAGATGATCGTGTGCTTTTTATTCCTCACTTTGTTAATGTGGTGTATAACATTGATTGATTTGCTGATGTTGAACGATCCCTGTGTCCCTGGTATAAATGCCACTTAATCATGGTGTATGATCCTTTTAATATACTGCTGTGTTCAGTTTGCCAATATTTTATTAAGGATTTTTGCATCTGTTCATTAGAGATATTGACCTGTAATGTTCCTTCTCTGTGTTGTCCTTGTCTGACTTTGGTATCAGAGTGACACTGGCCTCATAGAATGAGTTAAGAAGTGTTCTGTCTTCTTCAATTTTTTGGAATAGTTTGAAAAGGATAGGTATTAAATCTTCTTTGAATGTTTGGTAGAATTCTCCAGAGAAGCCATCTGATCCTTGACTTTTATTTTTTGGGAAATTTTTATTACTATTTCAGTCTCTTCACTTGTGATTGGTCTATTCATATTCTCTATTTCTTCTTGATTCAGTTTTGGGAGGTTGTATAATTCTAAGAATTTATCCATTCTAGATCCAGTTTGTTGGCATATAGCTTCCTGTAGTATTCTGTTTTATAATTCTTTGTATTTGTGTGGTATCTGTTGTAATTTCTCCTCTTTCATTTCTAATTTTATTTATTTGAGCCTTCTCTCTTTTTTTTCTTAGTGAGTCTGGCTAAAGATTTATCAATTTTGGTTATCTTCTCATAGAACCAGCTCTTACTTTCATTGATCATTTCTAATGTTTTTTTCTGTTTGTTTCTATTTCATTTATTTCTGCTCTAATTTCTATTATTTCCTTCCTTCTGCTGACTTTGGGCTTTGTTTGTTCTTTTTCTAGTTCTGTTAGGTGTAGTTTAAGATTACTTATTTGAAATTTTTCTTATTTGTTAAGGTGGGCCTGTGTTGCTATGAATTTCCCTCTTAGCACTGCTTTTGCTGCATCCCATACGAATTAGTATGGTGTATTTTCATTTTCATTTGTCACCAGATGTTTTTTGATTTCTATTTTAATTTCTTCATCGATCCTTTGGTTGTTCAGTAGCATGTTGTTTAGTCTCCATATGTTTGTCACTTTCCCAGCTTTTTTCTTGTAGTTGATTTCTAGTTTTAGAGCGTTATGGTTGGAAAAGATGCTTGAAATGATTTCGGTCTTCTTAAATTTATTGAGGCTTGCCTTGTTTCCCAGCATATAGTCTATCTTTGAGAATGTTCCATGTGTACTTGAGGAGAATGTGTTTTCTGCTGTTTTTGGATGGAGTGTTCTATATATATCTGTTGAGTCCATCTGGTCTAGTTTTTCATTTAATTCCACTATTTTCTTGTTGACTTTCTGTCTGGATGATCTATCCATTGATGTGAGTGGGGTGTTGAGGTTCCCTACTGTTATTGTGTTGCTGTTAATTTCTCCTTTTAGGTCTATAAATAGTTGCTTTCTGTACTTTGGTGCTCCTGTGTTAGGTGCGTAGATATTCATAAGCGTTATGTTCTCTTGTTGGACTGTCCCTTTGATCATTATATTTACCGCTCATCTATGTCTTTCATTGCTTGTTTTATCTTGAAGTCTGCTTTGTCTGATGTACGTATGGCAATGGCTGCTGTGTCTGATGTACGCATGGCAAGGGCTGCTGTGTCTGATGTACGCATGGCAATGGCTGCTGTGTCTGATGTACGCATGGCAATGGCTGCTGTGTCTGATGTACGCATGGCAATGGCTGCTTTCTTTTTTCGCCCTTCGCTTGGAGTGTCGTCTTCCATCCCGTGACTCTGAGCCTGTGTTTGTCTTTAGAGCTGAGAAGTGTTTCCTGGAGGCAACATATTGTTGGTTCTTACTTGGTTTTTTTGTTTGTTTGTTTCTGTTGAGGAAGATTCACCCTGAACTAACATCTGTTCCCAGTCCTCCTCTTTTTGCTTGAGGAAGATTGTCCCTGCGCTAACATCTGTGACAATCTTCCCCCACTTTATATGTGGGTTGCCACCAGAGCAGGGCTGACAAGTGATCTAGGTCCATGCCTGGGACGTGAACCTGGGCTGCCGAAGTGGAACACCCTGAGCTTAACCACCGCGCCATGGTGCCAGCCCCTAGAGACGGTAATTTAAATCAGTGGGAAAAGACATTCATAGAGTGCTGGAATACGTGGATAGCCATTCGAGAGAAGCATCGAGTTGGATCCATCCATTACACCCACTCTGATCCAACAGGGTCAAAGACTTAAGTAAAATAAAATCTTCAGAGTACGAGGAGGGAAAGAACACACCTAACAAAAACCAGGGAAGGAGTGAGAGGCGGTGGGAGAGGTGTGAGTGCACTTCCTGTCCTCTGTAGCGGGACGTCCAGAGAGCAGCCGGGAGCTGGGAGTGAGGGACACATCCCAAACAGAAGCTCGCAGGTTTAGAAATCAAGTTTAAAAGCTCAGAGTTTTCACCATCTCTTTTCTTAGCCTTAGAGGTATATTTCAGAAAATAATGTCTTGAGGTAAAGGAAACAGTTAGCTTCTATTCCTAATAGTCACAGAAATTGAAAAGTTTGCATTAAAATATGTGGAAGACTTTCTTTCTCTTTTGTTAAATACAAATTAAATCTCTTTTCTTTGGTTACAAGTAGCTGTGTCCTATGATACCTTTTAAATAAAAATTTTGTTTTAACTACATATGCACCACCAATTGATACCTCCCTAACATTTAAAATAGTTATTTCTGGATGGTAGGATTGTTTTTTTTACTTTCTTTTTGATTTTATGCACTGCATTATTCTCCTAATAACCTTGTATCATTTTTATAGAAACAATAAAGACATTATTCAAAATGTAAAATATATATAATCCTGTTAAAGAGCAGGAATCCATATTTAAATCCTTCCATTGCAGATTGTGGTTTAGAATACCTTTCTTATCTTGGCACCACGCAGTAATTCATCACCTTCTGTCTGGAGTGATTAGGGAGAACAAGACTGGGAAGACGTGGCCCCCGACCAGGACGGAGGGCTGCTGTGTTTTCTTCTGGTTCTTCAACGGAACCGGACTGAGGAGCCTTCGCGGTGCACACAGGGCGCGAGTGAGAGCTTTCAAGTAGAGACGTGGTGTTCTTAGTACCTTTGAATGGCTGGAACTCCTCTGTTTCTTCTGCTTTTCCTAGATTTGGAAATGCAAAGTTTTATTTGGTTTGAAAATGAACCTGCCAGGTTGTAAGCTCATCAAAGGCGGATGTGAGTCAGCCCACGCAGGGCCTAGTTCTCCAGCTCTCACAGGCCCTGGGTGGTAGTCCTCTTTGCTATTTTTAAAGATTGGCCCCTGAGCTAACATCTGTTACCAATCTTGTTTGGTTCTTTTTCTTCTTCTTCTCCCCAAAACCCCCTAGTACATAGTTGTATATCCTGGTTGTAGGTCCTTCTAATTCTTCTATGTGGGACGCCACCTCAACATGGCCTGATGAGCAGTGCTAGGTCCATGCCCAGGATCCAAATGGGCAAAACCCTGGGCCACCGAAGCAGAGACGCGAACTTAACCACTTGGCCATGGGGCCGGCCCCCAGTATTATTTTGAAGTGTTTGAAAATTGACTTTAGTTAATACAAGAATTTTTTGAACTAACAGCAGAGCAAAGCAAAGGTCAGCACACCTGTGCAGCTGGCATTTTAGGAGCGCTGGCCCAGATGCTCCCATGGTACAGGGAGTTGGGAGCGTGGGACTTTAAGTTTCGGAAAGCTGTGAGAGAGATTCATCGTCTTTGTAAAATTGAAGAGCACGTCAAGGAGTGGTTTCATGTGCACTAACCCTGGCCTCCTCTCTCTTCTTATCTTCCAGGTGTATCATACTTTGTTCTGGCCTCTTGAATGGACGGTAGCTGGCAGAGACAACAATACTTGTTACGCAAAGATAATTTGCAATAAATTCGACAATGTATGTAATATGATTGGAAGCTGAAATGCAGTAATTTTGAAATGTAGCGTTTATGCTAGTATTTGGGTTTTTATAATCTCTTTAAAGATAGCTTTCAGGGCAAGGCAGAAATCCTTCAAACTGTTACCCAGTTAATGCATTGCAGAGGTTGAACAAGTGACAGCTCGTAAGTAAGGCTTACCAACACCTTCTAGAAGTAATCCGTGAAAGGTGTCCTTCCCCAGAGCTGTCCAGCTTGGCGGTTTAGAACTAGATGATGTATGAAAAAGTTTGCTCATCAACTAATAAAATGTAAGGTGTGTGTATTTTGTAAATAGACTGAATGTGTGTCCAGAGCCTTTAGAAGGAAATGCTTACACAACGTGAAAACTCTAGTCATTCACTAATTCCTCCGGAAGCCTTTCCTGAAGGCAGCGGTGGTGGGTGGACAGCCCATCGTCGGGCTTTCTGCCATCCCCGTCAGGAGGTGAGTGTGCGACTGACAGCGACTCCCTCGTTAGCACAGTGTGGAGCAGCTGATTTGTGACTTGTTTCGTAAAGAACACTGTGTGTGGAAAACAGTGTTAGGACTTGGTTCCTCCCTTTTTAAGAATTTATAATCTGTCTGGGGAGAGAAACATATAATTAGATAAATATGAACAGCAACAGTGACATGTATATAAAGTTGACAAAGTAACACAGCTGTTATCTTGTGTAATTCTCACACGTCTCTGTGTCCATCATCTTCTCAGTATAACAGAAAACGGGGGCCACGGGCTCATGGCCAACTAGCATGTGCCCCAATGCCTGAGTGGCGAAGGCACCAGCACTCTAGAACTTAGTCCCCTGGCAGTTCCGCAGGTGTGCGGGGCAGTGACGGGGACATCGATCAGAATGCCCTGAAATGCCACAGAGCTGGATGGGTTCGCAGCTGCGCTCCTGGCGGGGGGGTGGGGGGTGGGGGGGGGCGTGTTGCTGGTCTGCCTCCTTGGAAGTGAGTAATCGGAGGGCACTGTCGTGGCAGCTGCGGCAGCCTCTACAGAGGGAGCCCGCAGAGACTGCAGTCGCTGTGCCCTGACATGAGCAGGAGCGGGTGGTCAGAGCCGCTGCTGAAAGGAGATGCGCAGCCTTCGTCTCTTGTCCACGCTCTTCAGGGACGTGCACTGGCTGTGGGGCCTCAGGCGGGACTTCAGTCTGTTTGCCCCTCTTTGGCCACCTGCTCTGTCCCTTGTCCCTTCCTGCGCTCACCCTCAGCTGTCCCCCATGGTCCCAGTTTGCACTCGCAAAGCTCCACAGTTGAGCTTGCTCCTTTCTTTTACACCGTCTCAATGTCTGTTTCTAGAGTATCTCCTTAGTACTTAGGCAGTAGAAGTAGTATTTTACTATGCTATATGGTGAAAATTTGTGAAGGCGGCCCCTCGCTTCCAGACCCTGCCCTTGTGGTCATTAGGAGGCCCCCTGATCACAGACCCTGCCCTTGTGGTCATTAGGAGGCCCCCCGCTCACGGACCCTGCCCTCGTGGTCATTAGGAGGTCCCCCGCTCACGCACCCTGCCCTTGTGGTCATTAGGAGGCCCCCTGCTCACGGACCCTGCCCTTGTGGTCGTTAGGAGGCCCCCAGCTCATGGAACCTGCCTTCATTGTCTTTTACATGGAGATTTTCATCAGATGTCCCCACTCTCTCTGGGCTGCCCCCCTTTTCCCACTTTGCTGCACAATGCACCTTGGAGATTCCAATTCAGTAGCCTTCCGTGGGCCCTGGGCCTCCCCTTTCACCCACAGCCCCCGAGGCCTCTGCCTCCCCTCCGAGAAGCCCGCTCACGGAGCTCTCGTCTGAGCACCACGCGGCATGTGTGTGAGGTGGCTGCGGTAAACAGCTGCTCTTCTCCAGATGTGGGTAGGCAGAAATTTCTGCCAGCCCGAGGCCTCTTCTGCCCTTCTACCTTCTCTCTTTATCTGTTCCACACTTTGTTGATGAAAATGAAGAATAGAGTCTGATGTAAAAACATTGACAAAAGGACAGCCTGACAGGCAGGGTTACACTGGAAAGACACTCAGATCTTGCTTCCTTTCTCGATGGGTCTGCTAGCATGTGCACCTTGGAGCTCCCAACATGCAGTCCTGGGAGAAGCCCCATCTGGCCACCCCTTACCTCCACTCGTTCTGTTAGGAGCTGGCCGCCTGCCTCCTGGGCCAGGAGTCACTGCAGTTCCAGTAAAACCTGCTGCCTTAGACTCATTGCCGTGTTGGACTTTAATTCAGATTTGTTAGGCTGCTGTTTAGCACTATCTCAGCATCATTTGGAAATTTACATCATACTAATGAACTCCTCCGTTCAGTAGGTAAATTGCTTATTCTAGTAAATTTTAGTGCAAATTAACTCAGGATGTGCATTTACTGGCTCATTTAGCAGATTCTCATGGTGGCTCAGTTTCACGGTAATGTTCTCTGCTCACTTCTACCTTAAGAGTTCTTTTTCTGTAGGAGATGCTGTAAATTTTAACTGTGTACTTGCAACAAATAGATTCCCATTCAGACCGTTAACCTCCTGGGCTTCCCTTTGTTTTGTTTCTGTATTAAAGGAGCGAGTGGTAGGATTTCACATTCTTGGACCGAATGCTGGTGAGGTTACCCAAGGATTTGCAGCTGCAATGAAATGTGGGCTCACGAAACAGCTGCTCGATGACACCATTGGAATTCACCCCACGTGTGGTGAGGTGCGGAAAGATAAGACTTTTTTAAAATTGACTTCAATTGATGTAGTTTGAAAAACTATTATAACGCACATTGTCAGAAACATTTTGTATTAGTAACTACTTTGTATATTTTAAAGGATAATGTAGATTGTAGTATTCAGAATGTGTTTTCTTGAAGCAATACTGAAATGTTGATGGCTAAGTCTAAATTTGTTTTGTTTTCTTTCTGAACAGGTGTTCACAACCTTGGAAATCACAAAGGCATCGGGACTAGACATCACTCAGAAAGGCTGCTGAGGCTAGTCCTGCTGCTGTTTGGTTTCCTCGTCCTGTTCCCATTTCTCTGAAGGAAGATGCTCTCGGCTGAGGTGAGGCTGTGCTCGTGGCACCTGCCCTGGCGTGCAGGGACCGGTGCAGAGATGAGACAGTGGACGAGGAGACAGGACAGCAGCGGGGGCGGCCGCTCGGCAGGCTTGCTGACTGGGAGAGGCAGGTGCACTGCTCCTTGACGTCTTCGCTCACAGCCTCTCTGAGGGGAGCCAGGACCGATGCTCTTCCAAGTCAGAGCGGAGCCTCCCTCTGGCAGACCTTGTCCTCACACAACTACCCTAAGTTACTTTGCTGGTCGCCAGTGTTTTCATTCCCTTGCTTTGTTGTTCCTCTGAAGATATTTCCTCGGGTGTGAAACTATGAAGTGGTGATCCTCCAGGGCGTGGGCCTGGGATTCACACGCGGTCCTAGCGAGCGGCATCTGTGGAAATGCCCTCGGGTAGCTGGCTGCAGAGGACGGGCTGCGTTGGTAGAGGCGGCACCCGCCGTGTGGAGTTTGGTCAGCCGTCTTCTCCCTTGAGTGCACGTGGACCCACTGTCGGAAACCTGCCTCACGCCTCACCCGCTCCTGGTTTCCTGATGCTCACCACCGTGGAGTCCTTCTCCTCTTAGTGTCTCTAGACCGTGTGGAATATCTCCTGTCGGAGAAACGTGCTTGAATTTCTTTTTCCTGTTGATCTTAAGAGTAATATTAAAAAGTTTTCAATACTGTATTATGTGAAATCTAATTTAAAACTGTTTAAAATGATTCAGTCCACAATCTAATTACAGTCAAGTTCAGTAACAGTGGTATTAGGAGATTCCATTTGAATTGCCATTTGATGGCAGCATCTAAAAGGCCCTTGAAGTGGGAGGCCTCTCCAAGGTCCTTTTACAAAACCTCTTTCTGGCCTCGGCTCGGTTAGGCAGCTCCTGCTCTCTGAGCAGGACACTAGGCATCAGCCACTGCCAGAAGATGGGGTAGTTCTGTGGCCAGAATTTCTAAGCATACATTTTAAAAGGAAAACTTGAAGCCAGCGAACAATTAGGGAGCACCATCTGAGGACGGGGCATTTTGCTCCCCTCTCTGGAGGCAGGGAGTGGAGCAGGGCTGTAGTGGGAGTGGCCACCCAAAGGGAACTGACATAGGATCCAGCTATTGAGTTGCCTTTTTATTGGGGAGAGAAAAATACAAAATGTAACTGTCTAAAAAGGGAGGCAGGGTATGGTAACTGCTACAGCTGAGGCAGAAACAGTGCAGCGGGAAACAGGAAGATGTTACTAATTTCTACTGTTGGGGTAGGGGTGGGATAATGGATCAGAGTGTAATGGAAGCAGCTATATTTGAGCTGAATCATGAGGGATGAATAGGATTTCAAAGATTAGAAACAATACGGAGAGGCTCTGAATGATACTTTCAACAAATTCAACTAAAATACTAGATGAAATAATTTAAAAGAAATTTTGTTACTGTGTTGCTGAGCACCACATACATACACACAACCAAGGGTTTCCAGAACCCCAGGTGAAGTGGAACCAGGAACTCTGGCAGCCTTGAGTTCTGTTTTGCATTGAGCACAGGGCAATGAACCTGAAGCCCAGGCCTGCCCCAGCTCTAATGGGGTATCTAGTAGGAAACCTTTCTGCCAAGCTCGGACCCCAGTGTGCTGTTCCCCCATGGAAGGGTGCATGCAGCCAGACTGTGCCTCACAGAAGGAGGCAGCAGAGAAGCTGACCTGTCTTCTCACTGGCTTAATCCACCCGAAGAATTTGTAGCCACTGTCCAGGTTACAGACCTATGATTGGTTCCCTCAGCACCCTTCTCCCCCGCCTCCCCCAGGTTACAGACCTGTGATTGGTTCCCTCAGCACCCTTCTCCCCCACCTCCCCCAGGTTACAGGCCTGTGATTGGTTCCCTCGACACCCTTCTCCCCCGCCTCTCCCAGGTTACAGACCTGTGATTGGTTCCCTCGACACCCTTCTCCCCCGCCTCCCCCAGCTTACAGACCTGTGATTGGCCCCTCAGCACCCTTCTCCCCTGCCTCCCCCTGCATCCTTTTCTCCACCTTTCTCTTTTCTCCTCTCCTGGGGTAAAAATAGTGAGAGATTAGTTTTTCCTGCTAGTTAAAGCTTGTATGCATCTAATAACATACACATGCATACAGATCTGCAAGGAAAAGTTGACATCCTTCCCTATAGTAGAGATTTTAAAATACCTCAATAATTTATTAGATCAAACACACGAAGAAATCAGTAAAGATATGGATTTGAATAGCACAATTAACAAGCTTGGTTTAATGAACTTATGAAGAATATTACATCCAACATGAAAACTTACTCATTGCAAGCACACATGGAATACTGATGAAATTTGCCATGTGCTAGGCCATAAAGGCTAGGCCCAATATATTTCAAAAGACTGGTATCATATAGGGATGAGGTAAAAGGATTTTAGCAGTGGGACTATCACTAAGAACCCAAAAACCTTAAAATCCAAACAGCATGATGGAATGTCTGGTAGAGGTGGTGTGAGATGAGTGAGGGATTAGTGGGAAATCAATCTGGAAAGAGGCAGGTTAGAGCCAGGAGCCAGTCACAAGAAGCAGGGAATTATGGAAAGCTGCTAGATTTTGAAGAATGATAGACTTGAGAAGGCCTGGTCCCGTAACTTACTAGATGTATGACAGAATAAATTGCTTAGCGTTTCCCATTCTTCGTTTTTTAGTGCAGACAGTATTGCCTGTTTCACAGACTTGGAACAATTGAACACATTTATTAAGTTCTCAACATACAGCATATTGGTGTAGATTATCTTGGCTTCTGTGATGATGACTAGGGGCTTATTAAGGAAAGCTCTTCTAGACACACAAGAGCGCAGCCAATAGACAGGCAGATAGGAGAAGTGTTGACAGGTCCTGCTTTGCAGACTTCACCGTAGTAGGCAGCCCCCAAGTTGGATTCCCCAAGTGCAGGTAGTCGCATCCTTGTGTAGTCCCCTCCCACACTGTACCAAGTTTGGTCTGTGGAGCCGGTGCTATATGGCAGAAGTGATGGTGTGTCACTTCTAAGGTTAGGTCGTAAAAGAACTTGAGCCTAGGTTTTGCTCGCTCTCATGCACTCTCTCGCTCGGATCACTTGCTCTGGGGGAAGGCAGCTGACACGTCACAAAGATTCGGGAAGCCCATGGACAGGCCCAGATGGAGAGGAACTGAAGTCTCCAGCCAAAAGCAAGAAACAGGTCTGCCAGCATCCATGTCGATGAGCTTGGAAGTGAAGCCTTCCCCAGGCAAGCCTTCCGCTAGCCAGCAGCTTGACTGCAATCTCGCGAGAGACTGAGCCAAAACAGTCCGGTTCTTCCACCCCTAAAATCCTGACCCTCAGAAACTGTGAGATAATAAATACTTATTTTTCAAGCCAGTAAGTTTTGGAGTAATTTGTCATACAGAAATAGGGAACTAATATGTTCACCAAGGAAAATTAAAAGTACAAACTCGATCAGATAACTAAAATGCTTTGAGGAACTTTTTTCCTCAGGCAGACAAAATAAAGCTCACGCAGATTTGGGATTTCAGTACAAAGGGATTGGATCTGAGCCTTAGCGCTGAACTTTGCTCATCATTGCAGGCAGGGCAGCTCCGGGGGCCTCCGTGGTCTTGGCCCTGAGTCAGGGGTCTTGGGCTGTGACTGTGGTGTGTCCCTGCTCTGCTTCCTTGGAGCATCCCTGATGGTCAAAGCTCACAAACAATCTTAGGAAACCTGTTCGTCATACAAAGCCAGGCTCATCAAGCTGAGCGAGGGGAGAGCGCCCTTGATGACTCTCAGTATCAGCTCAAATGGGAGGTGGGGGAGGATGCTTAGAGGATTTGGGGGGCTAGGGTTAGTCAAGGGGTGGTTACACGGCAGAGGCTAGTAAGTGGGTCTGGGCAGCAATTGGTCAGAATTTGTAAACCAGGCTAGTTGCTGGGACAGTGTCAGTGGTCTTTAGAATTTGGGACATATGAGACCACACTGAGCTCCTGTTACTGTAGTCTTCTCCGGGAACTTATAGGTCTGATGAGCTAGTGTTAAAACTGTTCAAACTTTGATAGTTTTTTGTCTGATGTGCTTTAGTACACTTCATATGTTTTGAGTAGTAGTACAGTTTCCCAAGTTGTGGTTTATTTCCCAGTGGAGAACCATCCAATGTGTCTAGGCAGACGACCTGTTAGGAATTTATTGAAAGAGAACCTCAAATACTTATTGAGACCTATCCTTCAACCATGCTGGAATAACAGGGACTAGACTTATCCCTCCAAAAACAAACTGGAGGGAACATCTACATTCAGACGTGGAACAGACAGCGCAGGACTGTGATTCCTGAGAGCAGGGAAGCAAATGAGGTGATCCCTACAATTGCCCCAACTTTCTGCATCGAGGTAATTTCAGACTCTGGACACGAGGGAGAACCGAGCAGGCTGGCGGTCTTGCTGAGCTGGAGTGGAGATTACAGTTCCAGGAGGTCGAGGCAGGGAGTTGTGGGGGAGACACAGGTGGGAGCTATGCAGAGAAGAGCTCCAGGAATCTGCAACAGGGTCCCTTTGAGTCTCTGCTGAATACTAAGCCACACCCTCAGAGGAGAATTCTAAAAGGTCACTCAAAAATTGACGGGAGAGTTATAGGTTGAACAATTGCCACAGGTCTCAGCAGGTGAGGAAAAATTCCAACTGGCCAGCAGAGGAGAGTCCTCAGTAACCCCCCTAATTAAGTGACCTCAGAAGGAGTCGTGCCATGGCGCTAGCATGGAACTATCCCTGGAAGGAAGCCTGCTTAGACCCATGTTAACAAAGTTTAAAAATAGGACCTAAAGGGCTCAAGATGACCCAGGAGTCTCTGCCCACAAGAGAAAGCACAACACTCTAACGGAAGACACACACTCAACAACAGAACAACCATAAGGTCCAATATCCAGTCAAAAATAAAAATTACTAGACATGCCAAGAAGCAGGAAAATGTGACCCATAACAAGAAGAAAAATCAGTGAATAGAAACAGACACACAAATGACTACATGATTGAAATAACACACAAGGATATTAAAACCACTATTCAAACTATGTACACATATTTAAAAAGAAACATAAACATAAAAAATGGAGGATATTTAAAAGAACCAAAATAACTTGTAGAAATGAAAAATACAATGTCTGTTTCAGGGAGTCCCATGACCATTGGCTAGTTTGGTGATTGTCTGCAAGGACTGACATAGTAATTGTGTGAATATTCCAGGAATTTAGTTCTCATGGCTTGGCTAGAGATCACTGCCCTGGCTACAGAGTTAAGTAAGAGGGAGGAAAGTAGCCTACTTCATTAACCATTTGCTCATAATACCAGAAAAGAATGTTTCATTGGATATGGTCAACAGCAGATTATAGAAGAAAAAATTAATGAGTTAAAAACATAACAATGGAAACTATCCAAAGCGAAGGACAGGAAAGAGGCTGAAAAATATTAAAAGAACTTAGACTCAGGCCAGCCCTGGTGGCCTAGTGCTTAAGTTCAGCACGCTCCACTTCAGCAGCCTGGGTTCAGTTCCCGGGCACAAACCTACACCACTCTGTTAGTGACCATGCTGTGCTGGCAGCCCACATACTGAAAAATAGAGGAAGATTGGCATGGGTGTTCGCTCAGGGTGAATCTTCCTCAGCAAAAAGAAAAAAAACCGCAGACTCAGTGAACTCTGAAATAATATCAAATAG